CTGGAGGATGTTTTCATGCATTTGGGACTTTCAGTAGATGAAGATGTGATTTCTGGTGTGGCGCATGGTGACTAACATTCATTGTGCGAGGAGTATCTTGGAGGTGTCCTGCCTAATTTCAACGGTGGTTGAATTCTGTTAAATTGGTTGGATGTAACTTTCAAACATTTAAGTGGCGACGTCTCCGAATAGCAGGTTAAAATGTATGCACGGGCTTGCATACTACAGCTCATAGGAGGACTCTGATGTCGGATAAATCACGCAACCAAGCTCATCGTATGTGGTTATGTCACATCATCGATTTTCATTATGCTGGCACACTGAGTTGGGGCTCCGCAGTTTTGGCATTTATGTATAGGGTAATGTGTCGAGCTACTAACTATAAAAAATGTTATCGGCGGATGTCTCTTTAGCTCCAGTCTTTGGCGTGGTATTACATGCCCTTTTTATGTCGGTGGTGAAAAATTCGTTGGTCTTCTAGTTATTATTGAGGTAATTACAATACTGATTTCGCATATTAATAATTTTATTTGGTATATAATAAAAATTATTTCTTTGAATAGGTAATCAAGTGCAAGAAAATATCATCGGGATTTACCTTTCTTGAACCTTCATTGTCAGCTCCTAAAGAGTTATGTTTCTCTTGAAGAATATTTTGACATAATGATTTGATGCGAACACGACGTTAGTTTCATCTTCCCGAATTTCTCCATCATAGTAAACAATAGCTTAAATATGTGTCATTCTGAGAGTTTGAAAAATTGCGAGTTTTATATATGCAAAAACAATAGCTGAAATACACCTAATTAAATAAATAGTATATGAATTAAAATATAACCTAATAAAAAAATTTAAAAAATTCACAATAATTTAAATAATATAATTTTATATTGTTACCGCATCGACAAAAATGTCTTGACGTATGATCTTACTTTTCAATTTTACAACGCAAAAAATAGTACAAAATAATTAATACAATAATTTTTTTTTCAAATAGTCATATATAAAATAAATATAATATAATAAAAAAGGTTTACCTTACAATAAAAATCGAAGGAATTGGTGAAACAAAAATAGAATGAATTGATGTGGTGATGTTTGCATATAAGGTGTGTTATTTATAGGCGAGGGGAGAGTTTAAAGGTCGAGATTTTCGAAAGAAATAATGGAAGGCGCGAATGGTGATATGTGCCTTACGTACATATCAGATGCCCTAAAAAGGCACGGATGGTGATTTGGTCATGTCATTACGTGGCGCCAGCTCGACGAAACTTCGAAAAGGTACAGATGACAATTCGTACATTGTGAGGAATAGTACTAAATCGATAAAATTAAACGAAAGGGTCTCTGACATATATTATTTCCTGTCAATGTGATGTTTCGATAAGATCTCCGAAATGATGTGGCATGAATCTTTAAAAGAATTATATGAAATTATAAAAATATCACATGTGTTAAGTTCTTTGAACAACAGTTTTTTTTAACGATAGTAATGATCTAGACATTTAAAAGAATATAAAAAACATTAAATATATATTTTGAGTTATTTTTTAAATATTTAAAATTAACAAAATGTATAATTTAAATACTTAATTTTCATTCAGCCTAGTTAAAATGCAATTCATTCCCTTAATTTAACCATTTACTAGTGTAATTTTCATGATGGATGTTTTTACTAGTCTGAAAAAGCCAAAGTCCTCTGGTTTATCTGAATGGATTTCGTGGAAAGGAGAGGTAACAAATGAAGCTTGGGACTTGAGACTTACTGCTCTCTCTCTCTCTCTCTCTCTGATCGTCAATGCCATGTGTCTCGAAAGCTAAGTATGTTCTGAGCATTTTGGACCATCTTCTCCTTCGATAAACTAAAACAAGAGATCACATTGCCTTTGTTTGGATTCAGTTCCTTGAGGAGGGGATGATTTCGTGGGCATTAAATGAAAGGATCCATACATATTTAAGCTATAATATAAAAAATATTTTTAATATTTGATTAAATAATTAATTTATTATTAATTTTATTTTAAAATATTATAACCTTCAATATTTTAAGGTAATTTTTTTTAAAGAAATTATTAGTCAATAAATAGTTAATGTTTTAAAATAAATTTTTTTCCCTAAAATAAAAAACGTTGATGAGTCAAAATGCTTCAAAAAAAAAAATGTATCAAAGTGATTATTTAAGGCAATGTTAGAAATCTTTATTCTCTAAGCTAAAACATTAAGAGATAAAATATTTCAAAATATTTCAAAAATATGAGTCAAAGTAACTATTTAATTAAATTTTAGAGATTTTTTTGACATTATGTTATTTAAATTTTGCACTCCTCTTTCTAAGATATTCTATTGTTTTTAATGAGATTATTTTAGGTTTAATTGTAAACGATATTTTACATTTTTGTTAAAAAGGAATTAGTGACCTATAATTTTTTTACTCAATGTTCTCTTAAACTAAGAATTTTTTTTTGACTAATTGATCAATAAAAACAAATGTTGATCATTACGATGTTGACTTGATGGTTTACAATAATGACACGACGATCCACAAGAGAATTAAATCAACTTTTTAAAAAGTTTGATGACTTATTTAATTTTTTTAGAAAAATAACTTAAATTTTAAATATAAAATATTTAAATATTCAAAAAATATAAAAACTACTAAAATTAAAATCAAATTACTAATTTTATTTAAAAAATACTAAAAATATATCAAAAGCTATAAAATTATAAATCATTAGCAAAATAAATCTTTTAAAAAGCATATATTATACTTTTATTCAAAATTTTTGACAAATTCTAAATCTAATTATATTCCTACCTAAAGGGGAGGGGAATGATACTCTAGTCTTTAGGGGAAGGAACGAGAGTGTTTAAAGTGGATCTAAAACCCATAACTTAAGGATATAAGAGAGAATAAAGCTTGGTTAACCAACCAAATGCGTTTGTTATACTTTTATTCAAATCAACAAAACTAATATATTTTTAATTTCATATACATATCAACAATCACTAAAGATATTATATAATTTTATATCATACATGTAAACATACTAAACATAATTTCATTATCATCATTGATATGTATACAAAATATTCTTACTAGATTAGTTGAGACTTATAAATTTTGCACATAAATATAGTTACAAAAATATCTTAAGTTTTTCGCATTAATACACACACCGAGTTATATTTCGTCTACAAGGATGTTTAAACATTTATTGTAAAATAATTAAGAATCTTTTGAACATATATTATTTTATAATCACCTTAAATTAATAAAAAAAATATATTTTTGAAAGAAAAAAACCCAATAAAAGCAAAATTGGGATGTTTTAGGGGGGAAATCTTAATTGAAGGTAAAAATGATATATTAGCTAAAATGTAATAAAAAGATACATAGAATGTTAGTAAATATACATAATTTGTCGCAAAACTAATAATAATTTGAATTGTTTTTTTATACATATATTTAGCGTAATTTTTTTGATAAATTTAATATTTATTTAAAAACTCTCAACTATTTGAAAATAAACAATTTATACTTTCTGAGGTGATCGAACATAAAACCTCAATAAATAATAATAAATTCCTTAAAATCATTGAAGTAAATTAATTCGTGTATCTTTCACATAATTTTATGTATGTTTGGAAAAACATATACATAAATTATAACTTTTTTTAACATTTTAAGCACGTGCACAATAATTAATAAGATACATAGAATGTTAGTAATATACATAATTTGTCGCAAAAAATAATAATTTGAATTGTTTTTTTACATATCTTTAGCGTAATTTTTTTGATAAATTTATATTATTTAAAAATTCTCAACTATTTAAAATAAACAATTTATACTTTCTGAGGTGATCGAACATAAAACCTCAATAAATAATAATAAATTCCTTAAAATCATTGAAGTAATTAATTCGTGTATCTTTCACATAATTTTATGTATGTTTGGAAAAACATATACATAAATTATAACTTTTTTTTAACATTTTAAGCACGTGCACAATAATTAATATCATTTCCCAATATATACTAAAATATTAAAATTCCAAAATAATTTATTACACCGATTATATTTTAAGTATATTTAACAAAATTTTAGCTTTAATCTTAAATAATATTCTCACCCTAGAACTACCTGCCAAAATGGTGATTATCAATATAAAACTTAATGAAGAATTCGTTATGAAATCTTTCAAGTACCAAGAATTCGTGCATGACGGTTATAGAAAATCTAGTAATATTAATGATCCGATATGATACAAACTGACAGGTGATATAAATATAGAAAGAGTAAGATTATCATTAAAGATTGATTGTTCTAAATTTTTTATATAATTTTTTTATTTTTTATTAATAATTTAATTTATATTTATAAATTTCATTTAATAATTCATAATCACATAAAATTTTGTATCTATTTTTTTAATAATTTAAGTTTTTTAATAATTTTTTGATCCACAATATATATATACTCAAATCTAAAATCTATTTATTTTTACTATATCGACATATGATATCATTAGCAAATTTGCATGCAAGGAAATAAATATATCAGAAACTAGCACCGGGTACTTGCTATTGAGTTAAAAGAGCTGGGAAATGCCAAATCATAACATAAAAGAGACTGATCTGCTGCTCTACCAGAAGACATAAAAGACCAGATAGCTGAGTGAAAAAGAAAATAAAGCTAACAGAAACAGTATATAATAGACTCTAGACCTTTGACTTGGCTTATCAGATCCCTTTTTGCTTTAGATTTGTCAGAAGAAAGAAGACCTTCCCAAGGGATGCCCTTACATTGAATACCTCAAAAACCGACATTTCCATTTGGTTCTGTCGTATAGCAGTCCTAGGTGAAGTAGCCTAAACCCTAAAACTAAAGTCATCACCATCACTTCCACCACCATCCATGAAATAATCCTGCAAGCTTGTAGTGGATAACCATTAATCCATGTTTTAAAACTCTAAAGATGCATACCTAGAAAATGAAGTCAATAAGGGCGAGAGGAAGGACCCCAAGGCATAACATCAGGAGGCATTTGACAATTAAGGGGAGTGGGACTCGCTACTCCATAAACAGACTCAACTGCAGCACCAGTCTTTGTTTCCTGCTGCTGATGATCTTTATTATCTCCTTCACACGGCAACACATGAAACTCGGGGTCTATAAATGTAGTCGCCACCACAATCACCTGTGTCGCCGCCATTACTTTCCCTCCTACTATCCCTCCAAACACTTGCCCTTGAGCCCCTGCAAGAGTTACACAGAACGAGCCAGAAGAAAACAAGGAACAAGGCGATGGCGACTTTGTTGTTGATGATGATGAAGACGATTGGGTTGTTTTGGCAATGAATGAGCCAGACAAAGAGAGTAGACCAAAGGGTCCATGAAGAGAGAATGCCGGCGCGTGAGATACAGGATGGCAGAGCGTGACGTTTGAAACAGACCCAGTAACACTGACGATACTAACACCAACACTGTTTGAACGAGCGAAGCCGATGATGGCGTCAATGATATCAGAACCAGGGGAGATCTCGAGAATCACCGGCTTCATCGTTGTGTTACTGTCTCTGGTTATAACAATGGGTGGTTTGGGCTTGTTTTTGGACCCTGGAGGTCTCCCTCTCGGCTTCCTAGCAGTGTTTTCCGATGACGACGGAGTTTGGTGGTAGTGATCAAGGGTAATAATCTTGTTGCAAGGAGTTTTAGACTTGGAACCGCCATCTCCACCGCCACAGGCTGAGATAGTAGGTACACTTCGAGGGCTATGCTCGGATGAGTCATCATCGGAAGTGTGAGCTTGTGAAAGAGAGATTGCTACGCCATAGTCCGCCATTGTTGGTGGAGGCGGGGGAGTATCAGGAGTCACAGAGAGAGAGAAGGAAGAATGGTGAGAAAAATCAAAGAACTGCGTAAAGCATTTCTTGGGCTTTATTTTATTCGTATATATAGTCAGTGGAGTTTAAAATATAGTAGTAAGTGGGACCCATCACAATGTGACGTATAATGAAATGGGGTCCACACCGCTGTTGTTAACTTTCTCCGAATTGATATTAAAGAAAAATTACGTATTAATCACCGATTATTTCTACAATTTTATTTTGAACATCTATTTTTCTTATATTATCATTAAATTTATACTTTTATTCTATTTTGATCATTGTTAAAAAATAAATAAATTATTAATGTGATAATTTTTTAATTGTGAGAATAATTGAAAGATTAAATATATAATTTATTTTTTATATTAATCTATTTTTATATTTTCTTTAATGATTTATGACGTATTTGTTATTCTAAAAAATAATTTATGTAAAATAAATTATATTTTTGAAAAATATAATTTATTTTACGTTTAAGATGATATTATATAAATTATTTGTCGTTGTTTGATAAAAATTTCAGAAATTATTCATATAAATGTTAAATATAATAAGTAATATTATTTAAGGTAAATTACGATAATGATAGCTTGTTTTCTTGTATTTGCATATTTTTAGTTACAATACTCTTAAAATTAAATTTAAATTATTTACGTTATCGTTTTATGAAGTTTTGATCAATGAAACATTAAATATTGTTAGTTTGATTAACTACACGTTAGTAAATTTTTTTTTTATTTTAACTCCTGAAATTTAGATAAAATATTAATTCTGAGTCTTTTATAAACTCAAGATAGCTTAGAGACAAATTTTCAATTTACTTATTTTTTAGGGTAAAGTATAGTAATGGTCACTGAATTTTTTTAGATCCCTCAACTTTTAAAACTTACAATATAATCCCCTAACATTTAGTCCGTTTGCAATATGGTCCCTCAACATTTAGTCCGTTTGCAATATGGTCCCCGACGTAACTGTTGGGAGACCATATTGCAAACGAAATAAATTTTGGGGGACTGTATTGCAATTTTTAAAAGTTGGGGGACCTAAATGAAAGTTTTAGAAAAGTTCAGTGACCATTATTATACTTTACCCTTTTTTTGAGAAATAGCACCTCGGAATTATGGCATTTTTCCATTCCATTTGAAATGGTATTTTCCCCCCTTTCTTTTTGCAGAGATTTAGGTAATTCCAACCTGTCTGGACATTTGGTACCTGAGGTTGTGAAGCTTGAGCATTTGCAGTATCTGTATGTTCTTTCCCTTTTATCCTTTGCCCACTTCTGCCCTAAGTGTCTGAATTCTGGACCTACCGACATATTTGCAGGTGCATATTATCTTGTTTATCAATGTTCACTTGATTATACATTGTCATGCATCAAAAACTTCACTTGCGGTTATCTTCTCTTCCATGCAGGGAGCTTTACAAAAACAACATCCAAGGAACCATCCCTGCTGAACTTGGAAACTTGAAGAGCCTCATCAGTTTGGACCTATATAACAACAACAGTTCAGGGACCATTCCTCGGTCACTTGGGAAACTGAAGCATCTTGTTTGTGAGTGTTCATGCCCAAGTGTTAATCACTTTATGGTGAATAGACTGTAGTCGAGCTTTCATTTCTAGACTTAAGAAAATGAATTACCGGGCTTAAGTAAATTACAGGTATTAGATAATGGTTGTTCTCTACTGGTGTTCAAATAGTGCCACCATGATCACTCCCTTTCTAGTTATTCTCATGTCACCGACTGCAATGCCAGGCGGCTTAATGACAAGAAGTTAACTGGACCTATCCCTAGGGAACTTGTTGGTGTTTCAAGCCTCAAAGTTGTGTAAGTATTGCGACTTTATCTACTATTATCTGGATTTTAAGAAGCCTTAGACTTATGGTCTTTGAAATTTTACCTTTTCTTCTAGTGATGTCTCAAGCAATGATTTGTGTGGACCAATTCCTACCAGTGGACCATTTGAGCACATTCCTCTAAACAAGTAAGCTTACCCCCTCTCTCTTCTTATATATATTTTTTAAATCTGGTTATATTTCATGTCCTTCTACTATGATATCAGTTATATGTGCAACCCTTAAAGCTGTAAAGTTTGAGATAATTTCTAACTCTTTTCTTTTTCATCCACATGTGGTAATAATGATAATTTTGATGTTCGGATAAAAATAAAGACTTTGAAGAGTTTCTCGAGGAATGTTTAAAATTAAAAGTAAATGACTGCAGCATTTAAAGCCTTTGGAGAAGATGAAGCTCGATTTTATATTTGCGATTATACTCTGTAGATAAGCTGAGGCGTATTCCCTTGTTTGTGGCCTTCTGCCATTCTCTGTGCTTTTGCTAACAGTCTAAGTTATTAATGACAGCTTTGCAAAAAGATACCGTGTTCTTTTTTCCTTTACACCAGAATGCACATTAACGAGAGTCTCTTGGCCAGTATAGATTCTGTTATTTTATTTTTAGTTGTTCATGATCGACAATCTGCCTTCAAGTTTCTACTTTGTCTCTTCTTTGACGAGCTTCGTTGGAATCACTGTTTAATGGACTGTCTCATGGTGCACATTGTTAATATTTTAGAGCTATTTGATTCTTTTGTTTTCCTTGTGCAACAACGTCCCTGATCTTCAATATTTTTCCGAAATATGTAGCTTCGAGAAAAACCCTCGCCTAGAAGGTCCCGAGCTTCTGGGGCTCGCAAGTTACGACACAAACTGCTCGTCAAGTACAGGTTGATGTTATAAAGCTTGGAGTTGAATATGTACTGACATGGTTTTAAGCATATTATCACACCGTATAATGGGGGTTCCTTGAACGCTAGCCCTCGTACGTGTAAATCTATATACCAGCTTGACTATAATAACTCAATTATCCTGCTCTTTCTAAGATGTTGAAGACAACTAGTATTGATGAATGTAATGGCAGCGACAAGTTAATTTGTGGTGTGATCCTTTGTTTTCATGGCACTAAACACTATATACGTGGATTCTATAAGTTTTTCTTTTGGTCATTTGACTATGAAAAGTTGCAAAATGACCACTACTGTTTTTTAATGTCTTTTTTTGGTTATCCTAGTGGCAGCTTTCAAAGTTGGTATAATAATAAAATTAGCCCTTAATGTTTACATATTGATAAGTTAGTCATAAATTTTAAAATTTTAACCCTTGACTTTTTACTTTGATCAATTTAATTTTAAGGGTAAAGTATAGTAATGGTCACTGAACTTTTCTAAAGCTTTCATTTAGATCCTCTAACTTTTAAAACTTGCAATATAATCCCCAACATTTAGTCCATTTCATATGGTCCCGAAGTAAACTGTTGGGGGATCATATTGCAAACAGACTAAATGTTAGGGGACTATATTGAAAGTTTTAAAAGTTGGAGGACCTAAATGAAAACTTTAGAAAAGATCAGTGACCATTACTATACTTTACCCTTAATTTAATCTCAAGCCGTGAATTTATTCAGTGAAGCTTACTGTGTTTTCTCTCCCGACTGTTCTGGCTTCCACATTTATGTCCAAAGGTTTCTGTGGGGCTTTTGAGATTCTTTTAGTTTTTCTCATTTAAGTTCGATAATATTCTCTGCACTGCATTATTAGTTTTGTCTCACTTGGGGTTTTGTTTTCCTTTTGCAGAACTCCTTTTCAGCACCTTGGATCAGGTACTTCAACACGATTTCTTCATCTGGGTTAACCTTGTTTTAAATTATTATTTGGAGTTTGCTTCTGGTTAGTTTTAAAAATGCGATTTTTGCCATTTGGGGTTCCAGTTTTCTTGCACCTCATATTTCCATTGTACTTTGAACTAGAGACATCTTTCAGATTCTTTGGATTTCTTACAATTATTGCAATCATTTGCTTTTTTCTTAGCTAGTCTATGTTTTTTTTAATGAATTTTCCCATTCTAATTGATATTTTCTACTGTTCTTGTCCACTTCCAACTGTGGATGTTCTCTTATTCTGTTAAACGACTTTTCTGGAGGTGATTACTTCTTTTTGGACACAATAAATGCTGCTACTGAGATTTCTGCTTGACATAGTGTCAACTGCTGCTTCACTGAATAGTTGACGCATTTGATGATTGTTATGCAATGTCATGTTTATTTTTCTGGGTTAAAATGTCTACCGAGACTTCTACTATAAGCTTTTAGGAGCAAACTGTTATCTCTACTATAAGGTTTGAGAATGAAAAAAATCCTGACTTGTCATTGTTTGAAAGTGATGTAGAAAAAAAGTTGAGCAACTAAATCATTGTTGTGTTTTAAAAAGTATTGAGCTTTGGTTTTTCTTTTTGGTCACACACTTTAAAACACGACAAGTTAGCACTTTTTGATGTTCAAGTTTATTGCTGTTTAAAATTTTAGTTCTTATCTTCAAAGTTAAATGCAGAGGAACTAAATTGCTCATTTTTATAGTAAAGGGGGTTAATTTTCTCTTCAGTCTATATGATAGAGATCTGCCTTGTAGTTTAACCATTTATTTATAAGGAGTCAAAAGATGTCGACATCTGTTTTTTCCTGTCTAGTAATACATGAATATGGATTTGTTGTAATTTACTTTAAAAAGTTGCATGCGTCATTATCCTCGTATAGTTGAATTTGGTGTCATCTACCTGGTTAGCATGTGTAACATTATCCTCATGTTGATGAGTACGAAATTTTACTTTGCCTAACCTACTGACCATTTACGTTTCACCAAAGTTGCACATTTTCCGTTTTAGTTTTTGAAGCCTGAGGCTGTTATTTTGAACAGAGTTTTTACTATGCAGTTAAGAGTTTCTAGGGATTTTATGAGCTGTTTATTTTTTCTTTGATCCCCATAATTTTCCGGCCTTAGCTGAATTAACACTCTGACTCTGCTTTTGCTTGCAGAACATTTAACATCTACGTGCATCTGAGAGCAAACTGCACGAGACTGCCTGTTTAGATTGAAGGTTTTTAACGACTAGATGAGTCTTGAAAGATTTCTTGGAAGCATGCTTCTGGTTCTAGTTGGCATGTTTTCCTATGTTATAGGTAATTTAGAAAATTTGTCTAGAGTTTCTTCTTTTTCAGTCAGTTTCTGTTTGGAATGTTGAATCAATGCAGGTTCAAGCATCAGCTGTAAAAATGATAACCATTATAATTGACATGTTTTTGTTATCGAGATTCTGTTCTGATTTTACATAGCCTAATTGTAATCATTGTTTGAACTTCTAATGGTTCAAATACTGTTGCTGAATGTCACTGAAAGTTGAAACCAAGCTAGTTATATTTCCACGTAATAAATAAGTACTTTAAATTGGTTTATATTTCAATTTTCTTGCGTAGTATTTCGAAGGTACCTATCAGACATGCCCTCAAAGAACTAGACCATTTAGATCAAATTACTTTTTTTTTCCCTTTTTTCTCACGCTCCTTTTTTGTTATCTTTTATTATTTTTTCCCTCAACAAAGTTTTGATCTTTTCTTGGGTTATGAATTAGTAGGTGCTTGTTTTTCAGAATTATGTAGAATGATGGTGAAATATTGAGGCTTTTATTGCTAGGACAGGTGGTTCATTGAGCACTGTAAAAGTAAATCAACCAATGGTTCCTTTATTTACTACTTTTCAAGGTTATATTGAATAGAAAGCAAATGTAAGCCAAAAAAAAGGAAACTCGGTGGAATCATGACAATGTTGCATCTAATAATCCTGTGGGACAACTTTTCTTTTTTGGGTTTTTGTTTTAGTTATTGGGTTAACAGGTTCTTAATATGGGTACTCTACATTAAAAGGTCATGTAATAGCGGTTCTTGTAGATTTTTGCTGACTAGATTCTTCATTATAGGTGCATTTGTTGGGGTAAACATAGGCACAGATGTTTCTAGCATGCCATCAGCTTTAGATGTGGTTGCTATTTTCAAAGCCCATCAAATTACTCATATTCGGCTTTATGATGCTGACTCTCACATGCTGAAAGAACTGGCTGGTAGTGGGATTGAAGTTACAGTGGGCGTGACAAATGAGGAAGTCATAGGAATTGGAGAATCCGGATCAGCAGCAGCAGCATGGATCAACAAAAATGTTGCATCTTACGTGCCCTCCACGAACATTACAGCCATTGCTGTTGGCAGTGAGGTTCTTACCTCAATCCCTCATGCTGCCCCAGTATTAGTTACAGCTATGAATAACCTGCACAAGGCTCTCGTGGCTGCTGATCTCAATTTTCAGGTTAAAGTTTCGACCCCACAATCCATGGACATCATCCCCAAGCCTTTTCCCCCGTCTACTGCTACCTTTAATTCCTCCTGGAACTCTACAGTATACCAGCTTCTTCAGTTTTTGAAGAACACTAGCTCCTATTACATGTTAAATGCCTATCCATATTACGGTTACTCGAATGCAAATGGCATTTTTCCGATTGATTATGCTCTTTTCAAACCTCTCCCTGAAGTCAAACAAATTGTTGACCCGAACACTTTGTTCCACTATAACAGCATGTTTGATGCAATGGTTGATGCAACTTATTATTCTATGGATGCTCTCAATTTTTCTGCTATTCCTATTGTTGTCACAGAAACAGGATGACCTTGGCAAGGTGGATCCAACGAACCTGATGCCACTGTGGAAAACGCTGAGACCTTCATCAATAATTTGATCAGGCGAGTTTCCAATAATTCAGACCCACCTAGTCAACCAACTATTCCCATCAACACATGCATTTATGAATTATTTAATGAAGACAAGAGACCGGGGCCTGTCTCTGAGAAAAACTGGGGGTTGCTTTTTACGAATGGCAGCGCTGTTTTTCCTCTGAGTTTAAGTGGTTCGAGTCAGATCAATGGAAATTCTACTACAGTTTTCTGTGTGGCAAAAGATGATGCTAGTGAAGATAAGTTGCGAGATGGGCTTAACTGGGCATGTGGGCAGGGCAAGGGCAATTGCAGTGCTATACAATCAGGGAAGCCGTGCTATCTCCCGAATAACATCAAGAACCATGCATCTTATGCTTACAATGATTATTATCAAAAAATGCATACTGTTGGTGGGACATGTGATTTTGATGGGACAGCCACAGCCGCTACTAATGATCCAAGTAAGTTTGCTCAAGTTTCCTCATGTTGATCTTATTAATTTTATCAGCAATATTTATTTTTAAAATGCTTGAGTAGAATTTTAACTTTCAGTCCAGTAAGAAAGTTTTTCTTTAAAAAGAAGTTGATGGTTCTTAATAGTTTCCAGTTCGATCTAAGCTTCTCTGTATGAATCTTTTTAAGGAAAGAAACATACCTTTTTGGAGCTAAAACGCGAAATTTTCATAATTTTAATATTGCTATTAAAAAATGAATTCTGTAAAGTGTTTGGTGATTGTATGCACTATATTTCTAGTTGTTAAATTGTGGATCTTATTGTTAGCATTTCTAATTGTAATTCAATGATAAGCATGGAGAACGATATTTCTACGTTGTCTTGTTTATAAGATTCCTCAATTAACATGAGTAAGTAGAAACCTAAAGTAAAAATTTCTAAGCTCCTGATTTATTTCTGCACGCTTGGTGGGGGCTGGTTTCGAAGTCTGAAATATTGAAATTTATTCCTGGGGCAGTGTTGTGGTCTATACGGAAATACAGGAACCGGATAGTTTTTTAGGGGGGGGTCTAAGGATCAGATTAATCTCTTATTCCTTGCAAGATACAGACTGGTGGCCTGGTTCTCTGCGAAACACAGATTTTTCCTCGTCGTTTGACTGTCTAATTGGGGATCCATCTGTTGCGGATCAGCGTGTCAGACAGAGGAGTATGGTGTTATCTCGGTCTATATGGGTTCTGCCTCCAACAGGATTCTTCAAATTGAACGTGGATGGTGCTGTCACTGGT